TGACACAGAAATTAACAACTGTAGGTCGCCGTACGGCCTTCAACAATGAACAAAGCTCATACAACATAATCAGCTATAAAAGGCCCCAATATGACAGATGTAAAACAATTCAAACGAGGAAACTAGCGGCCTAATTTATGTACAAAAAAATGAACGAAAAACAAATATGTAACACAGCAACAAACGACAACCACTGAAATACAGGCTCCTGGCTTGGGACAGGTAAATATATACAGAATGTGACGGGGTTAAACATCTTAGCGGGATCCCAACCATCCCCCTAACCTGGGAAATTGGTGTAACAGTACAACATAAGAACGAACTATAAAAATCAGTTGAAAAAGGCTTAAGTCATTAGATGGATACAAATAGAAATACATCTCAAAAATGTTTGTTTGTTTTCTATACTACTGTAATGATGTAAAAATAAGAAGATGTGGAATGATTGTGTTACCATATCAATTTATCAAAAGAGTAAGGATAGTATGCTTGACTACACTATACGCTATGTTTACAATATATTTACTCATTCGTTCATCCATTGACGGACAGTGAGAGAAAAAGCTCCGTTTTGAAGGCCGTACTTTGACCTATAATAGTCCTATAATGGTTTACTTTTACAAATTGTGACTTGGATGGAGAGTTGTCTCATTGGCACTCATACCACATCTTCTTATATCTATTAGAACGTTTTGGATATCTCAAATCAAAATGGTTGCCTTTCGAACGTGTATTTTATGTCCGCTTCGAAATACACAAGTTCTAAACTTCCCCATTAGAAACAAAATAATTCTATCATGCCATGCTCTACGCCCATTTTAACATAGGTAGGCAGTATATTTGTCAATATTTTATACCTGGCTAACGCTTGGTTTAAAAATTTTAACAAATATAATGCCTTCCTATGTTAAAATGAGCATTGCGACCCATTGGTGGCCTTCGGCTGTTGTCTGCTCTATGGTCGGGTTGTTGTCTCTTTGACACATTCCCCATTTCCATTCTCAATTTTATTGAGCATGGCATGAAAGAATTATTTCTTTTTATAAATAAAAGTTGGTTTGCAACATTATAACGTCCAATATCTTCGTCTTCGTCTTCGTAGAACAACCTAATTGGCAATTTAGCCCGTGAAAATGACAATGAGACAGCTTTCCATCAGAGACCAAATGACGTAAAAGTTAACAAATATAGAACACCGTATGGCATCCAACAATGAGAAACGCCCATACGGCATAGCAAGCTAAAAAGGGCCCCGAAATGAAAACTGTAAAAAAAAAACTAATGTTAAAACTAACGACCTAGATTTATGTACAAAATAAAAAACGAAAAACAAAAACATGTATGATATACAGCAACAAAAGACAACAACCGATTTACAGGCTCTTAGATTCGGTACTGGCACATACAAAATGGCGGGGTTGAACGTGTAAGCCCCCCCCCCCTTCCAAAAAAAAAAACAAGAAAAAAACTGGTATAACAGCACAACATATGAACAAACTATAAAATTCAGTGAGTTGAAAAAGGCTTAACTCATTTGATTACGGAGCCCCTATGCGTTTGACGGCTGTCTCTGTTTTTTTTCGTCTTTTATTAAATTTTATGATGGTATACGATATAGTTACATTATATCAGTGGCGGATCCAGGGGAATAGAGGGAGTACGCCGACCCCCCCCCCCCCCCCCCCCCCTTTTTTTTTGGTGGCTAGAAATAATTATTTTATCATGTTTTTACGATTTATATATGATTTTTTATTTAGCATAAAATCGTTAAAAAAAAGTTCCCCTTGCTACGCTCGGCGGTATAAAATCCGTTTATGAATACGCCCCTTTCAAAAATCATGGCCTCGGTCCGCCCTTGCATATTGACCATTTTAAACTTGACCAAATTGCTTAAATTGTAGAACATTTTTCAATGTACGATGATCATTATACAATGAAGAGATAAACCTATATATAATAGTTGTACTATATAGGGCAGTTGTTAACAACTTGATACTAGTGCATTAAAGAATTTGTTAGTGTTAAAAAAAAAGAAAAAAAAAGAGAGATAAAACATCGTTTATTTATAAAAATTACTAATCAAATAATCATTATTGCAATTTCCGGATGGCCTAAGACTTTTATACTAATTTATACTTAGTATTATTGTAACAAGGAGGGGTAAACAGATTTTTAACGCACTATTATTGTGATCCTTTGCGCCGCATGGAAATTCCTTTTCTTGGGCGATTCTGCATGCACATACATTTTTCTTATTCTCTTGCTTTATAATGAACGTTTAGTTTCAGAATATTTATTTTCAAACGATTATACTGTCTTCCCTTTAAGTAGAGCGGAACACTAAGATAACCATCTTGTTGTCCCAGAAAATCACATATCAAATGTGCGTCCTTAAATTTTCAAAGCCGTACACTTATTAAGTTTGAACACTTAAATTTACATAGATGATATAAAAAAATCTAATTCCTTTTCAAAACCTTCATTTCTTTTTAATTTTTCCTTTTTTTTTTATACAAAACAAAATTGAAATTTGCTTTGTTCTAATATAGCAGGAATTCAAGTGTTTACGGATTCAAAAAGGTTATAAGTTATCCTCTGAAAGAAAATGTTTTTCAACGATCCCTCAAACTGCTGTTGAACGCCATATTTTAATTTTCGTCATGCGATTATGCATTATTTTCTATGACAAAACCGGGTCTGCTTTGTAAAATTTAATGACAAAACCGGGTCGTACACATTGACAAAACCGGGTGCTTCAATTTTGACATGACCCACTTCTTTCATTCCATGCACAGACATGCAAATATTGAGGCGATCATAGTGAAAAGTCTTGACATCTCTGTGTTAATATCTTTCTTTCCGTACCTTTCTTTCCGTACAATGTGTTAAATTTAAAGAGAAATTAAACAAATTCGAGGCAGGGTTCACTCAATTCACCATTTTGACTTTTTACTTATTTCTCCATAAATCTAGAACGGTGGTAGAAAATATTACATCACACTATCGAAAATAGTTATATGTGTATGTATATTCTTCAATACCATTAAAACAACATATAAATAAACAGAATTTCTACATGTCTCTGTCTATTGATTGTCCGTCACCGTACCGGACATTAGATACTATTGAGTCCAAACATTTTTCGCCGGGGTAGTTTAGATACAGTGTCTTACAATAAATATAACCACTGATGCATGACTAGAAACTACTCAATAAGTACTTAGAATTAAAAATATTAACTCGTCAGATATTTAATATCAAAATAATTTAAAGTATGATACAAAAAACAAAAGTATCCAAATTAACATACTACTAGTACCACATATACATCATGATAAGATTGATAGTTTCTTGTTTGATGTAATGTTCAGTGGCAAGCATTTCATGCTTATTTAGGACAGAAACACATTAATAGAAAAATCAGTATAAAATGGACCGACCACGATGGGAAAGAGGTTAAGCCAACTCCCTTTGAATTTGTTTAATACACCATTGCAAAATTAACTAATTAAGTTGAGGCAATTCCTTTTGAATTTATTTCACACCAGCCATTTTTATAAAGTCTTCCAAAATTCATTCAATTCATAGTGTGACAGATTCATATGCATACTTTAGTATGGCGTTCATTATCACTGAACTAGTATATATATTTGTTTAGGGGCCAGCTGAAGGACGCCTCCGGGTGCGGGAATTTCTCGCTGCATTGAAGACCTGTTGGTGACTTCTGCTGTTGTCTGTTCTATGGTCGGGTTGTTGTCTCTTTGACACATTCCCCATTTCCATTCTCAATTTCATTTGAGGTTGTGGGAAAAATTTGGTTGATTATATAGGGGATCACTGAAGCATGACTGTAGCGGGCCTCCTCTTGTGGCAGTCTGTGCCCCTCCCCCTTCCCCCTTATAAAAAGTTCTGCATCCGCCACTGTGTTCCCAGGTATAGAATAGAATATAATAGCATATTTTTATTTTTCTAATCATAAGGCTCATAACAAGCATATCAATCAAGTTACAAATACAGACAATACATGCATGATTATTATACACATAACCAGAAGTCCATTACTAGATATACGGAAGTTTTTAACGACCTTGACTGGCTATACAGCCCTTGCAAGGTCGGCCCTGGCATGCGCCTATTTGGGCATTTAAATAATTTAGTTTTTCCATTACTAGAGGAAGTGTGCAACCCGCTATATAGCAATCTCCCATACAGACAGAGTTGTCGTCCTACGACAACGCTGTCTGTATGGGAGATTGGCTATATAGTAAGGCGATCACGTTGTCCAACTGTGTTTGAAACGGGATTTGAGCGAGATTGCTATTTATAGTCACAAAAATCAAATTGTTTTATAAAAAACAACTACATCTTTTTAATAGATGATACATTTTAGTCCGACACGGCAGATTTTATATGATTTTATAGTTCTCATTTGCCTTTGAGCGATGAAAAATGGTACCAATGTATTCTTTTATAAAATTTTATGTCATTTTCTAAGTGTTGAAAATGAAACTAAATAATTGGCAATAAGAAACTACCGCACTAAATCGGCTCACTTTATTTTCAACAAACTGATAATTAATCAAACACTCAAGGAGACTAATTAACAGCTATCTGTTTGATGATAATATTTCTACCCATGATTCCATAGTTTAAAAACGAGATTTGGGAGGACCACATATAGCGCTTTCCACTGATAACGGGACAGTGTGATCGCCCAGCTATATAGTACAGCGTGCACACTTCCTCTAGTAATGGACTTCTGACATAACAGACAATAATTGTTCAATAATAAAAAAGGGGAGAGTCAGTCAATACAGTGTTTGTCTCAAATTTTTCACATTAGTAAATTAACATCTGATTCTTCTTCTATCATAGCAGGTAGTTTACTTACAATTTTGTGAAAATGTCCTTTTTCTTTTAAATTTTAAAAATCAGGTTCTCAGTGGTGGTTTCCATTTTACTATTAATTGCAGGTTATTGGACGAGGTCAATCTCCTACGGGAGGTAACTCATAAGCTTTTATGTAAACAAAGAAAAAGACGAAGTATGTGTGTTTTTTGATAGTCTTTGTTGAACGATAGCATCAATGTCAACAGGTAAAAAGCAGTAGAAAGTGCAAAAATTATAAGACGTATAATTTATATGTCCTGGCACAAACATATCAATAATTAGGTTACAAAAATCAATATTCAATAAAATCTGAAAGTGAGTCATTGAGTGATTCAGCTGTTTGAGACTAAGGACTTATCAGAAAATAAATTGTATTTTTGTCCTGAGATTAACATGTAGTTAACCATTTAAAGCCATAGATTTTTTTTATATAGTAAATAGCAGATATATAAAATAATAACACTACTGTATAAATGCATTCATCTGAAGCAGGAACACTCTAAGTGGAAAGTTTGAAATCCAAGGATGTATAAGAATGGAAACAGTTAAAGAGCTATATGACCAAAACCTAAAAGCTTAATCCATCTAAGGTCATATATTTTACTTAGTTAGTGTAGGTATAATCCCTTTAGGGATTGGAAACCAGATTGATTTCCTGACCAGGCGCAGCCAACAGTGGTTGTCTGCAGAACTTAATTAGAATCTTTACGTCTGATTTATACCTTGTCATTAATACATTATTATGTACCTATTAATCGACCATGAGGATTTGTTGAGAATTACATTTCATCGCAAAAGAGAATGAAGAAAAATACACTTTATTAATTTGGTTGCTATGAAGCATTTTTCTGGATTTACCTTCATCAGGAACCCTCAAACCAAAACATTTTGATAGCCAAAACACATTAGGAGTTCTATGAAATAAAGGGACATAAGATTCATGTAGCTAAGCTAATTATAACCCCTCAGGGACTAACAGTCCACCAGCAGTATCAACTTCATTATATTTACATGTATATAGAAGTTTCCTTTCATGTAGAAAAATTCCAGCAGCATTAGCTTAATTATGCATTTCCACCAAAGTTGATATGAAATTATTGTAATTTGTGTATTCAGGACAGTATGTAGTCAATTCCAATGCCTTTGTCTCTTCTGATATGTGATGTTATCTCTCGTGTATGGTACAATGTCATAGAGGCAACCGTTACGATTTTTCCGTAATTGTTATGAATTTTGGACCAAAATAATGGTGTTACAATTAACAGTCTATTTGTTACGGATTTACGTTCATTACCTGTACAGAACAGTTCTCCATTTATATATATCATTTTTATCATTGTGACACTTCATTTTTGGTTAGAATCATCTAAAATTAAGCATGATTAAGTGCATGAATAATTCAGACTATTATTTTCCTTTGGGTTTCTCGGGACTATCCCAGTATAAATGACTTCTCCATTTCTTTTTCAATTCCAAATAATTAATGAACGAAACAAGTCTTTGTTTTCAAATTCACGATGTCTGGTGGAATAATTATATTTTTGAAGCAAGGAAAGAAAACTCTGACAACAAAATTGGAAACCGAAACATTATGCTTTTTTTTGCATATATTGTAAACAATACTTCCCTTTAGCGCGATGGTCGGTGTTCCTCATTTGCTCATTAACTTTGAATTGTAGTTCTAATAGATAAAGAATCATTTATTTGTCACTGAGTGCCACCTCAAGGGTGACTGGGGAATCAAAATATGGCCAATACAGGTCTTCTTCAGACCGGCAGTAAAACCTTCACAAGTGGATCCGTCCATTTAGCTTTGCGGGATTTACAAGTAGGCAGCCAAGTCCGGTCAGAATGGGGAAGTTAAATCCAATGCCTAGTGTAGAAAAATTGCCACGCTCTATGCATGTTAAGAACCCTTGTAACAACTCTTTGAGGAGTCTGTAAGTGGCCTGTTGCAATGCAAACTTTCTGTCCCATATCCAATACACACTCATTTTCCAGTGGCAGTCCAAATTTCCCCGACCATCTCAGATGACATCTATTAAAGGACATACCTATTGTATTTATTGTTAATTTGTTCTCGTCCTCAACATGCATGAAATATTTGCCACTGGACATTAAGCAACCAATAATCAATCAATCATATCACTGTGTGCCTAGTTGTTTATATGATTATTACAAAACTTTAATAATTTAAAAATATTATTAGTTGAAAAAGACACAAATTACTGAAATCTTTATACCTTTTTACTGAATGCACCAAAAGAGGGTTGGCATCTATGCCATGTTGGTATCTGAATAGATATTAAAGATAGTATATTTTATAAATGTGGTGCTATCATTTTAGAGAAACAGTACTTGCATTTATATCTAAGTTCAATAGTACTTTTTACAAGTTGCCAAAGGAGAATACTGCAGGTAACTATCAGGAGTTCCTTGATAGCAATATTTTCACAAAGAAGCCATTGGAAATCAGTGTTCCTAATGGAAAAGTTGAAATTCTATCTTTGAAAGATCTTCTAGTGATGAAAACTTTTTTGAAGTCCCATATTCATATACATGTACATGCAATGAACAGAACAAAAACACTTACCAAAGGAATTTCCTGACATTTAAGGCAATAGAAAAAAGGAAATTTCTTCCTGACAATTGAAGTTAGTGACGATAGTTTCTTAAATAACCATCAAGATAGGTACAAGTACATTAGTAAATTAATTTAACTTTGTATTAAGTCACAGTTTTAAATACTGTGTTCTCCACAGTATTTTCAAATAGCACCATGGGATTTGAATTAACACTTGTACACCACATGGGCACATTCATAATGTATTCTAAAAGCACCATTATAAAAATTATATCACCTTCATGACCATGGTACATAATTTAAGGCCCTGGGGAAAATACTAAGCAGTATATTTTTGTAATATTGCATTAGTTTTTTAAATGAAATTCTCATTGAAATCTATTTCTCAAATTTTTGGAACTATTTCCTATATGTTTTTGTTAATAAAAAATCCTCATGTAGTGGTTATGCTTTTAATTATAAATGTTATTCTTATAATTTTTTTTTCAGTTATCCGGTTCTTAAACATAACATAAAATGGCTGGTGGTGTGTTTCATGTTGAATTTGGTATCAATGAAACATCTTTGACTAGAGCCTTAGAAAGTGGCAGCTATGGTGCAGCAGAAAGATTGATTAGAGAGAATATTAATCCATCTTATCTAGATGAAGGTTTGTAATAAGAAGAGATAAATACTTCACTCAACACTGCTATGTAAGCATGTTATTTCTATAACAACAAAACATGAAGATAGTTTTTATAGACAGCCACATGTACATATTAAACTTGCAATAGTTTCAGTTGTTATCTTATTATTTATTTCTATGTCAGAGTTCAAAGGTCAACATAAGCTGATTGGTACTGATCAAAACCTTGTCATTCTTTAAACTTTCAAAAAGTTTATACTACATTTGTAATTACTTATATAGAGAGAAATATCTATAAATATTTGTTTATGCTCTGTTAGTCTTCATTTTACATTTCACTTTCAAAAAGGTTAATTTCCATAAGAAGAGGATGACCCCAATTTATTTTTAAAGGTTAAAACATTATCAAAAAGTAAAATAAAAAAAATACCAAACTATCAAGGGATTTTTAAATGTCATTTTGAAAATACTTCATATTATTTATTTAGGTTGTTATCAGAGAACACCTTTGTTTATATGTTTATGTGGAACAGATGAGGAACAAACAAAAGTTCGACCCCGCCATTTGTATCTAGCTAAACTTTTAGTAGAGAGAGGTGTAAATGTTAATCTTCGAGTGCCAACAGTATGTATTCTTTGTTTTTACCTGCAACTGTACTAGTTATTTGTGTAATAAAGGAGTAGGACCTGTAAGGGTCGATTTTGACCTCAAAATTTCAGGTTCATCTGATGAAAGATTTTGGACACTTTTTAAACACTTAAGTGTCTACTTCAGTCGATTCAATTACTGTATGTGAAAGATTTGAACTGATTTAGTCATTTCAGTCGCTCAAATTCAAGCTTAAATATGAAAAATCTATCAAATATGCCATAATATGTACATTTTCAGATGGTTTTTGTCAAAAATGAAAGTGGTCGCATCCGTGTTCACTCTCAACCTTTATATATGTTATGTATTATTTAAGGAATGACTGTAATATTTTTTCTGTCTATGAAGAAATAACATCAAAAATGTGGTGCACACTGAATAACCTGTGTAGCGGGTTATTTTAAAGTGTGCACCACATTTTTTATGTCATTTCGAATAGACAGAAAAAATATTAGTCATTTCTTATAATTTAATTCTAAATTCCATTTTAAACCGGAGTAAACCATGAAAAAATGTTGATGAAGTCACGGTCACATGACAAAATTATGTCTATGAGCTGATAAACAAAACAACGTCAGCCAATCAGAAGACCTGTTACATCCAAAATTAAATTATCATCAAATACAACTTACATTTAAATATTAAGAATGAATACAAATGCGGCCACTTCCATTTAAGATGGAAACCGTCTAAAATTTAACTCAAATGCTGAAATTGTGAAGATTTCAGTAATTTAGCATGACTAAATGATGCCAGTACCCAATATATGTGCATTATATTGTCAAAAACAGCCCATATTTATGTAGCAGAAGTATTCTACTTTCCAATAAATAACTAAAAAGTTACATTTTAACAATTTTGTAAAACAGCTATATTTTGGGGCCAAAAAGGAGTCTTACCGGACCTACTCCTTTCAAAGATAATATGGTATGTATTACTGATTTGATCAATTTATTTAGTTTCAAATACAGAAAGGAAACATCTCATACTAATGACATATGTGTAAAATATGAATTATTCACAAGATATGTTGTATAATGATACATCTCATGAAACCACCCTGATCATGTATGAAATACTTGCTAATTGATATTGATGAGATGGTATTTAATCATGTTATTTTCTAAACCAATCAGCCACTAAGGTCTGGTAGATATACGAAAATAGCGTAACTCAGAAAACTAACCAAAACTATGTAAAGATAAAAACACTACAAAATCTTTAATCAATTGGTAAATGACTCAGTATTTCTTCCTAAAAGATCTTTGTCAAGGGATACATGTATATATGTGAAAATGATTTAAAAAAAATTGTCAAGAATAGTGATAACATTGATAAATAGTTTAAACAATTGACTTTTTGGTGTATAACAAATGATTTGATTGTGCAGTATCAAAAACTAATGTGATTGTTTCTTCAGGTGAATATCAATAAGATGTTATATGTTGTTTTTTTTGGGTTTTTTTTTTTGTTACTGTCTCATTGTTGTATATCCTACATTTCCTTTTATTTATGAATATCACCCCTTGCTGAGACCTTTGACCTATTTTTACTTCCTATTTATTTCAGACATATTTTGGAAGTGAATATGAAGGACCCGGAAAAACTGCTTTAGAACTACTAACCGATTTTTATAATGATCTGACAAAAACTCCAAATCTTCACAGCAATCAGATATGGTAAATTTTTAATTTAAGTTAACTAATTGAAAGGTGAAAAAGGAGAGTTTTAATTATTTTCTAATTCAAAAATTTAAATGAAATGAATAGACAATTGAAGCTTGAAAGTTATAATTAATAATTCATAAATGTCAACTATTGAGATATCAATGGAAACCTACCTCAAAAGTTTTTATTTGGAAATATCCTTCTACACGCCATCCTTGTAGTCAGTTAGGCTAACAGAATGATTTCAATCTAATATTATGTGTTTCCTTTTTGAATCAGACATGAGTTGTCTCCCATGTTTGTTAAAATTAATTCTGAGTATTCTGTCATTCTAAGGTGGTACCAAACACTTTGACTAAAATTAATTTGGCTCGTTTAATTTTCATAAAATTTTGACAAAATATTTACTTTGACCCTTTAACAAAAATATAAAAATTTCAAAAAACTTGAACCACACAGTTTATCGGAAAAATTTCATTGGATATATAGCAGTTTGACAAACACTAATTTTGATCATTGAGAAGCTTAATATTTCCTTAACAAAAGAATGTGATTAAAACGTTCCGCTGATTTTTACAGAGTTATCTCCCTGTAGTGTTATGTACCACCTTAAGACACACATGACAACTTTGAAAAATTAGGGAAAATAATATCTATATGAAAATGTTTTGACATATTCGAGAAATGCTTTCAAAACTTACATAATAAACACAGGAAATGTCTGAGGGAGAGGAAACTTTGAGTAGGAATTAAAACAAAATGTTTTGTACAATAATATGATATTTGTTACATATGATGTTTTACAGGTCAGGTTACCACAGTACATGGGATCCACATGTAGATTTGGTCATAGGGTTAAATAAACAATATCTTACAGCACCAGAAGACGTTATAGAACATGTGGAGGATCTTATCTTTGTTATATTGAGTAAGTTGTTTTGGTGTGTGGGAGTTTTCCAATATTTGAGAAAAAAAAAATCATGTGATATTACTCTTATTGCAGTTTTGCATTGACAAAAACATAGTAAAAACAGGATTTACAGTATTTGTAAGAAGTAAAAATTAAAGTTGGTTAATAGATATTTATTTTGAATGTTCTAATCATCTAACCATTACATGCACCAAACTCACAGTAAACACATATTAACTAGATGAGATATATTTGATGTTTTTTATGTAGTACCATCACACCATACTTAAGCAAAGTGTTAAAGATGTGAGTTATAAAACATAACATACTTTCAGATAGTAAAAGATTGAATATTTAAACATTATTTTAAAATGAATTGTTAGTCATAATATAATTTGAAACTTTTGCCATTGAAATAACTACATGTTTTACATGTGATTAAGGAAAAACCTACATTTTAAAATTTCACATTACCTGATTTCTTAGATCATGTGACTTTTTTTGTTTATTTGATTTGAGAAGGAGTCAGACATTTGAAAAGAACTTACATATCAGAGTTAAAATAACTCGTTGTATGTCTACTAAATTATCTGGAAAATAACATAAATGTCATAATATTTAACTTAATATGGCAGGAAAATAATTTTTGGTCTCAAGCATCACTGAACTGATTACTTTATGAAATGTGCAGCTGCATCATCAAAACATGTTCTGTTTAATTATTCTTAAAATTTTATTAAGGTAATGGAGGAGATCCAAACATTCATGACGTATGTAAACTAACACCGCTACACAAAACAGCTATATATAGCCATGATGATAGACTCTTACGCTTATTGTGTGAGAATGGTGCTAATATCAATGCTGTTGATCGAAAAGGGAATTCCCCATTGTTGTCTATGTGTGATACATCATGTACAGATATGTATGAGTACTTAGAAGATCTTTCACTGTGTAGTGACGACACACTGGAGGATAATAGTGCTAGTCTGTGTGTGAAACAAGACTTCCTCAAGTATATGTTGTCTATCAAAGATACAGAGGTAACCATCATTTTACTTTTAGTACAAAAAAAATGCACCTTTATTGATGTAATGTTTTATGTAAGTGCCAGATTATCACATTTATTTCCATTGTCTAAAATTTCTTATTGATGGATATTCCTGATAATTTACAAAATCCATGTCCATTTTAAGTTGGTTATTTTTTATTTATATATAAAGTCAAATAATAATGATATGGTTTGATTTCATCAAAAATTGAAATATTGGGGTTCTTTGATATGCTGAATCTAACTGTGTATTTAGATTCTTAATTTTTGGTCCCGTTTTCAAATTGGTCTACATTAAGGTCCAAATGGTCCAAAATTAAACTTAGTTTGATTTTAACAAAAATTGAATTCTTGGGGTTCTTTGATATGCTGAATCTAATCGTGTATGTATTTAGATTTTGGATATTGGACCATAATAGGTAAAATAAAAAAATTTCAGTTCTTAGACCACATTCATTCTGTGTCAGAAACCTATGCTGTGTCAAATATTTAATCACTATCCAAATTCAGAGCTGTAGCAAGCTTTAATGTTGTGTCCATACTTGCCCCAACTGTTCAGGGTTCGACCTCTGCGGTCGTATCAAGCTGCGCCCAGCGGAGCATTTTATTTTTAGTTACCCTCATCCTGAAGTAGAATGGTAGGTCTTTTGTTCCTGTGTGTCTGTTAATTCGAGAAATCTCTATATAAATTTTGGTTAGAAGAGAATGATAGCAAATTACGGAGTTAGCTCCCCTTAATTGGTAATTTTTAGTGTATTTTAACCAAATTATATCTTGAAATACCAGAACAAGAAAAGGAAACCAATATTATATTCTTGCACCATTATACATTTTGAACTTGAATTAATGTGAACTTGAGTTTTTTTTGTCATGTTTTCACCACTACCTGATTTTTAGGCAGATTGGCGCTTTAAAATGCAACTAGGATAAATCTTTTAACAAAATATTCATAATGAGATTTAGTATTGGCTTTAAATAATGTGTTCTAAATCCAGTAGCATTTTTATAAACAATTTAAAAGTTAATTAATTTATGTTTTGAAAGTAAGAATTACTGACACAGACGTAACTGCAATGTATACAAATTTATTCCCACATTTAAGGACAGCCTTCACCATTCGACATGTTTATTTTTGTAATTGACCCATGATTTTGCTATCAATGAAATAGGTATTACAAGAGATATCTGTCCTGATGGAAACATCATATAAACATACTGTTGTAAAGTTGAAAAATCTTTTTCAGGTCAATATTCAAAATAATCGTGGTCAGACAGCATTATTCCATTGTGTGATAAGAGGTGATATCAGTGCTTGTAACAAACTGCTGAAGAAAGGTGCTAATGCTGCTCTCAGGGGTACTGTGTGGGAAACACGCAAACAAAAAAGGTAAGTTATATCATGTAAATGTAATTATCAAATGGGCCTGTATGCAAGCTTTATGGTTATTTAATTGAAGTCATTAAATAAATATCTTACATAGTTTAGTTTCTCATGAATAATTTGATATGCTTGTTAGGATTATAAGGTAATTATTTTTGATCGACATGTTTTGGCATGTGGTCATCCAATCATCATGACCACACTGTATATTAATTTTATTTTATTTAATAAATATGACTCTACATACCATTGCTATCCACTTCTGGGATAATTACTTGTTTCTAATATCAAGGGTTGGTTTACTAAAGACTTAATTACAGATTTATATTATTAGTATAATTTGGGATATTTAAAATATTTGACTTAATCTGACAAAACATGGAATACTGTGGATTCATTTATTTTCGTGGGTACCAATTTTCATGGATTGAGGAAAACTTGCATATTCGTGGATATTTAAATTCGTGGTTATCGCAAAGTCTGCATTCAATCCTTTAGAAAATTTGTATTTCGTTGAACATTTAAATTCGTGGTTCCCCTGTACCCACGAAATCCACGAAAATTGGTATCCAACGAATATTAATGAATCCACAGTAAGAGATCCCTAAATGACAGATTATATTTTAAAAAAGAATTACATGAAAAATTATAGAAGATTCCATTATGAAAGGTCTTATACTTTATTATATTTCAGAAAAATGTCACCAATATTTGCAAGTTTTCTGTCTATTCCAATACAACGATCATTAAACTGGAGAAATCTACATAGTGAACTAGCATCAGCTCCTCACCAATATGGTCACCTAGTAGATATGGGTAAGAATAGTATACACATCATACATAAAGGAGATGTGGGGATTATGTAATTTAGACAACACAAGTTAACAAAAACAGGACATCTAAAGGTCACCCTAAGGTTATTAAAGATTGGCAAGTGCCAGTACCATTGATCAATTGGTAAGTTCTAAATGGCCCAGTAGAGACAAGACAAGATAGAGATTTGATTCAGTAGAGACAACCGAAGATCTGATATTAATTACCAAATTACGGAATATACATAATTAGACAGTAAGGTGTTGAAAATATTCCTTACTCAGTGCAATCACATTATTATGTTGCAATTTTTTTCACAAAGTGATTAAAACCACAGTTGTAAATGCATCAGATATTTGTCAAATCTAATTATCTCTCCACGAAATAGCATAATCTTGATAGCTATAGGTATATTTTTGTTAATCAAAATATATAAAATGGTAGGATTTATTGGATGTCTTACCTGCTGACTCTTACCACAAAAAGATCGAAAGATGCATATTAGGGAATTTTACTTTCTTTTCAAGCTTAAGAATTCAGTTCAAGTTTACATCAAAGTTTGTGTATCTCAACTTATAAGAAGTAGGGTACATACGGAGGGAAAATTTTGCATTTTGACCTACTTATTTTCCAATTCTCACCAGTTAACATTGACTCTAAAGTATACATATTATTATTAAAGATGTTAAATCATGTGTCTCATTGTCAAGAGATATATCCTTTAAAGTTTTCTTATTAAATCCAGGCAATAACAAGGTCAACTTTAAAGGAAGGAAAAGAAAGAATATAGGATGAATGTATATTGAGAGACAAATCCCATGAAATATTAGGTAATACTTGCTATATCAAGGACAGTGCTACATGTTTTCTTTCTATTCTTCACCTTGAAAGTTGCTTGATGTTCTTCATCAATGAACTAAAAAGCATACAATATACAGCAAGTGCTTTTGTAGTCACGATGGATTAGCAAAAAGTAATCTATAAATTTTAAATTGTGTAAAATGTAATACAATACTCTATATTTTGTTTCTACAGGATACTTTAACAGGAAGGAAATTGTAGAAGAAATGTCAGAATATTTGGAGAATGATTTCCCAGAGTTTTCTCATTTAAGATCAGTCTGTGATAAACTTGTGAACTACATGTTTGGTCGAACTTCGTCTACCCTACAACAAACTGCAACACGTGTAATTTTCAAACAGTGTTTTCTGGGAAAAACTTGCTCATTAACCCAATTAATGCCAGCAGACACACTGAAGCAAAGATTTTCTGATGCAGATCTGAGTAACTTAGATGTTTATGATGAATATATCAATTTTGTTCTAAATAAAACGGTTCTAAGAACATTAGTTGACAAACTGAATCTTCCTCATGATTCCATTTTGAGTTTTGAAATTGAGCTACTTCTGCACCAGATGGCGAGTCGCTTTGGGGCTTGTAAAGTTCTTCCACCAGAGAACATGTTTAATGGGGAAAGTGATAGTAGTTTTTCTAGTGATGATAGCAACAATTCATCTTTCAGTCCTGATGAAGGTGACTCAGATTTAGAGTACTGGTGAAGTTACTAAAATAACAGTGATACGTTTATAATAGAGCTCAAGATTCATTTATTTTCTTGGGTACCAATTGTCGTGGATTGAGGAAAGATGGTCTTTTCGAAGTTTTACAAAAGTTTGCACACAAGCCTATAGGGAATTGGTACTTTGTCAAACACATGAATTTGTGGTTCACCTATCCCCATGAAATCCACGAAAAATTGGTACTCCAGGAGTTATAATGAATCCATAGCAGTGATATATTTGCAGAATATATATATATGTTAGTGGAGATACAGGGTGTACAGTATTTGGTTATAACTTTAAGTTTGGCTGTAACATTACAATTTTCTCTGTGATACTATTTTTATTATTTTATTTATTTGTGATATTCTACTCTGTTGTTCTGTGATGTCATTGTTAATAATATCATATCATTACGTGATCCAGTCTATAGTGCTTGAAAATTTGAAGAAGCTTCATTAGAGATCAAATAAAATACTGGTCAAATCACTTCCTATCAAAATTGATATTCATAAGACTTTCTGATTTTTATTTGATTTATTTGCTAGAATGGAACTAGGGTTTCAATCTTATAAGGACTGTTGTATCTGGAAATATTTACTGATAAATTCCACCATAAAGAAAAAAATAGTTGAAATAAATAAGTAAAAATTGATTCAGAAATTTACAGAAATTAAATAAATGTTTCTCACTACACCAACACATGTGGTATTATTTAAACTTCAACAGATTTGTAGTATGATGACTATCTTCAATATAAATTTCAGAAAATTGTTGCTCAAAGTAATTAAAAAATCACTGAAACTTTCGTTCAAAGTAATGTCATGATCATTTACTTAAAATAAAGCAGACTTCGTTAAACAATATTATTATTACTTTTAAATTGTAGAATTTAAATGTTTTAAACATTTTCATCTGCTCAATATTTTATATTTACCTAGTAAATCACTAACTATTTTGTCTATATTTTAATCAGAATCTGTGTTATAGAGAGGATTATACATATTTATTTTTTTTTGTATGTAAAAGTTTCAGACTATAATATATTTTATAATATAGACTTGGCACGATTTAAATCTAGACATACATTGTATACTATTGTGAAGGCTGTATGTTGCCTTCTAGATGGGCTGCTATCTCATTGACATTTATCCAACCTTTCCTTTCATTCATATATATTTTTTTTAAATTGTTAATGATTTCGGAATTGTCTTTATATATTCTAGGATGTTTTTTTTTTAAATAACTTAGAATATTTGTTGAATATGCTTATTGTCTCTTTATATGATGGTGTTCTTAATTCCAGTAATTTATGACAGTAATTGATCCATCCGTTTCATAGTGTAACTTTGAAAATTTGACCTCAGTTTGATCTTATTTGTAGTGATCTTAATCTATTGAAACGGACTTTCTTCTGTATATTTTTTCTCTCACAACATGGGGGACATAGATATAGGCTTCATCTGTCTGTTTACAAAATTTTGTAATGCAATTCATTTTTAACAACTACATGTATTTTGGTCATCAACATAACTTTGGAGGTGGTAAATTCAACATTCTACCAGTCTGTAAGGTTTGCTGCCATCTTGAATTATGGAATTTTTTTGGGGGTAGGTGATTTCTTCAGTAAAATACAGAAAAATGAAAATAATTATTTTATATATTACAGAACAGTCACACTTTTTACCTGAAAACCTTAAAACTAAATAATAAAAAAGGGAACATTTTGACTATTTAGCATTACAATGAAGATAACTGTATATGTATTTTAAGCTTGGTCTATTTTAAATATTGGTTTTACTGTTGCAAATATCCTTTTAATCAATTTGCAACAGTAAAACCTATGTTTTAGGTTGGCTAAGCTCAAATTCATATACAATTGTCTCCTAAATTTCAGGTAAACTTTTGTATGGAGACTACAAATTTGAATATCTTGTATAATTAGTATGTTTATAAAATCTTTAATATGAAAGTGATTTGTCAAGTATTTTGTTGTACGTGCATGGTACTTTATATACCCCTTGTTAAAAATGGAGATTATATTGCTTTACCTCTGTTTGTCTCTTTTTCCATCCATCTGTCCATGGCATCCTTAACACTTATCTGTCCATTTTTATACCACCGCAAAAATTTTTGCGGTAGTATATTGGTATGACGTCGTCGTCGTCGTCCGAAGACACATTGGTTTTCGCACTCTAACTTTAGTTTAAGTGAATGGATCTCTATGAAATTTTACCATAAGGTTCAATACCACAAAAGGAAGGTTGGGATTGATTTTGGGGGTTATGGTACCAACAGTTAAGGAAAAAGGGGCCAAAAATAAGCATTTTTGTAACTTCCAGACATAACTTCTGTGTTAGTGTATGGATCTCTCTGACATTGTACCACAAGGTTCCATATCACAAAGGCAATGCTGGGATTGATTTTGGGAGTAATTGCCTCAAAATATTAGGAATTAGGGGCCAAAAAAGGGGCAAAAAACAAGCATTTTTCTAGTTTCATGACAATAACTTGTGTTTAAGTGTATGGATCTTTCTGAAATTGTACTACAAGGTTCCATATTACAAAGGGAAAGCTGGAATTGAGTTTGGGGGTAATTGCCCGAAACGTTTAGGAATAAGGGGCCAAAAAGAGCCAAAAAACACATTTTTCTAGTTTCCAGACAATAACTTGTGTTCAAGTGTATTGATCTCTCTGAAATTGTACTGCAAGGTACCATACCACAAAGGGAAGGCTGGGATTGAGTTTGGTGGTGGTGAATCATAAGGGGGTTCAAAAAATTGGGGGGGGGATTTTTTTTTTTTTTTCCTTTTAAAAATTTCCATTTTAAGTTGGTTATTTCTGATTTATATTTAAAAGCAAATAATAATGATATGGTAGGAGATACACACCAAACAGGATGTGTAAATTATTATATAATAAGTATTGTGCAATAGCAAGAAATTTTCAATTGCACAGTATTGCACAATAGCAAGAAATCTTCAATTGCACAATATTGCGCAATAGCAAGAAATCTTCAATTGCACAGTATTGCGCAATAGCAAGAAATATCCAATAGCACAATATTGCGCTATAGCAAGAAATTGTCAATTGTACAGTATTGCGCAATAGCAAGAAATATTCAATTGCACAGTATTGTGCAAAAGAAGATACTTCGTATAAATTGCTTATCTCTTGACCAATTTCAATGGGATTTTATTCTTGAATTCTTGGGGTTCTTTAATATGCTGAATCTAACCGTGTATTAAGTTTTTGGATTTTGGGCCCCGTTTTTAAATTGGTCCACATTGAGGTCCAAAGGGTCCAAAATTAAACTTTGTTTGATTTCATCGAAAATTGAATTATTGGGGTTCTTTGATATGCCGAATCTAACTGTGTATTTAGATTCTTAATTTTTGGTTCCGTTTTCAAATTGGTCTACATTTAGGTCCAAAGAGTCCAAAATTAAACTAAGTTTGATTTTAACAAAAATTGAATTCTTAGGGTTCTTTGATATGCTGAATCTAAACATGTATTTAGATTTTTGATTATGGGCCCAGTTTTCAAGTTGGTCCAAATCGGGGTCCAAAATTAAACTTTGTTTGATTTCAACAAAAATTGAATATATGGGGTTCTTTGATATGCTGAATCTAACCATGTATTTAGATTTTTGATTTTTGGGCCCCGTTATCAACTTTGTCCACATTGAGGTCAAAAGGGTCCAAAATAAAACCATGTATTTAGATTTTGGATATTGGACCACAATAGGTGAATGTCCAATTTAAAATTTTTAAGTTCTTAGACCACATTCATTCTGTGTCAGAAACCTATGCTGTGTCAAATATTTAATCACAATCCAAATTCAGAGCTGTATCAAGCTTGAATGTTGTGTCCATACTTCCCTTTACTGTTCAGGGTTCGACCTCTGCGGTCGTATCAAGCTGCGCCCTGCGGAGCATTTTATTCTTATTTCCTTGTAATCACCACTCCATGAAACACAGAAAAACAGTATTGTACTGTTTGATATATAATATTTATTGGTACATATTTACTTATTGTTTGTCAAATACTTATTTATTCTTTGATTGTAATTCAAATTTTCTCTTTATTTAAATCTGAATCTGAGGTTCCATGTGTTAAAAAGGGTTGCTATCAATGCTATGGTGTTTGTGCTTTTTACTTTTCTTTTGATACATAATTTTTGAGATTGTTATTGAATGGGAAATGGTCTGAATGGTTTCATAATTTTCTTTTTTTTTAAATAGCTGTTTTTAATAGAATAGAAAAACAAAGTATATGGTTTTGATGAATATGCTTATCATCTAGTGTTAATACTACTATTCTGTAAAAATACAAGTGGCAGTTTAAATTTTTGAGAAGAAGCTTACAGTGCCTGCTCTTATTCCTAATAAAAAACTGAATTCAGACTTGATTTCAGATCAAAGTTCATCAGTAATACTTTTGTATTTATAATTTTTCAAAGTTCATCAACAAAATTTGAAAAGGTCAAAAATATGTATTTGACTGGAAACTATTGAGTCCCTGTATTTAACCAAAAAATCAATAAAAAATCTTTTCTATTTTGGTTTTCATGAAACTGTTACTATAAGGGGCTTATAGTCTTTTTCCAATACTGTAAATTCAGAAATTATTGCATGTATTTATTATTGCGATTTTGTCATTTAGACCAAAATCAGATTATTATTTTTGCAATACTGCATATAAAAAAAAAACAAAATGTGAGATTAAATTATTGCGATTACAACCCTGACACATTTTTCGCAATAATTTTCGGAATTCAAAGTATTTCATTGTAGATAGTTATCAAGAGTTCAAATGTATAATAAACCCTACGAACAAAGAAAGTAACTCAATACACATTTTACAATATAAGCATCAATCAGTAGTATTATTTTCTATTATGCCACTGTGTATTAGTATGCATTTATTGTTTGCAGTAGACTGTCTCTCCCCTTTTCATTAATCTCTTGTAAAGATATGTATTTGGCACTATTTGCATAACATTTTTGTTTTCTCAAATAGATTATCTCTTGTAAAAGCAAATGTATAACATTGTTGTGATCTGATAAATATAGATTCTTACCAGTGGATTATCAGATTTATCCAATCGAGGTAGTTAAAATTGATAATTTAACTATCGGGATTGGATAAATCCGATAATCCACGAGTAACTGTGTAAAAATCTGTTTCTCTAATGATTATCAAATAAATTTTCATTTTTGATGAACGAAAATCCCCTTCGAGTGCCTTCCACATTCTACTAAGTTGTCAATTTCATTAACACCTGTTGGCACATTTTGATTCATCCTGTGAGCTGATTAAGGTTATGACTCTTAATCTCATCCAATCATCTTCTGAGATCATGGGCAACCACACGTTGTTTGAATTTTTTTATACAATGGGTTCGGAAAGGGTTAAATTGCCAAAGAATTAGAGAAAAATGAACATATACCTCTGTTTATATGACAATCATTGAGTGTGTTCCTATATGAAGAACACTACAATATGTTCAACATTTATTTTTATGCATTTGTTAAAGTTGGTCTCAGTAAGAGAACTTGCGTACCTGATTTTGTGAAAATGTGTTCATGGAAGTTTTTCAGTGTAATATTGGAGGGGTTGAACTCAATTTTTATCTCGCCTGGATGAAGTTGAAAACTAGACTTCAGCTTGCTGTTTCCAGTAAAGGCAGGTGCTATTTCTTGGCAGTCAGTTTTTATTGGTGGAGGAAGTCAGAGAGAACCACTGAACTTCGGTAGGAAAACTGACTAGTCAATTAAGATGGGAGTCAAACGCACCTGCCACTTGCAGGATTCAAACTCACAACCTCAGTGTTGACAGGCTAGTGATACGGTAGTTTGACTACATGTATTTAGACCGCTATGTCACGGAGGTCCCATTATCACTTATGATTAATCAATAATATTTGGTATACAGTTGTAATAACAGTGGCATATTACATCTCATTTCTGTTTACATTATTTGGCCCTGAACCTTCAGTCATAGTTCTTTGAGCTTAGTTAAGTATTGCATTTTATCATCAAAATTACATACAGGCGAGATATATCTCTGTGTCAAAAGGTTATTTGATTAGACACTCTTTAGATAAGGATGATCACTAGAAGTGGCTATATGTATTTATATAGAAACTGTTACCCAGAAATGATGTTAATTAAATATTCTTGTGTATGCTATATCTGTAACTTTATGTGAATGTTTAAATCTGGGATATGTTAATTATAACCTTAGGATATAAGTTTTAAAAAAAATTGCTACACTACATTTAAAATTGCCGTTGAAAGATTCATTATCTTCTTAAAAATCAACATACTAAGTAAATTGTAATTTTTTCCAATCATTTCCATTGTAAGATTCAATCTGTCTATTGTGTGTAATTGATTGACAGCTTTGCAAATTCAGTCATTGTAACCATAGGAACCGGTTGCAGAAAGTACAAGCACACAGACTTGTGAACTTATGAACTTTCAACGATATTTTTAAACCAGGTGTAAGCACATATATGATTGTGATTAGTGTACAAATCTTTCATACAAAATTTACATATCAGTGTTGTCAATCATATTTTTTGTTGCCATATATATGGAAATTTATTTATTTAATAATCCTATTAAATGTTTCTTTCAAGTTTGAAATTTTAATTTATTTTCATATCTTTCTTAATCTACAATGACGAATGGATTGATGTTTACACCCAGTGACAAATATTACATGCATATCAGGACAAGAACAATGTTGATGTGATATGAATATGAACACTGCTTTGTACAAAGTTGACACACTGAGTCAGATATTTTGCTTCTCATCACAGTGCAAAGCTTTTAGTTTCATAGGATATTCATGCCGTCTTGAAATTATTACATAACACAAATTGGTTCTCATTGATTGCCTTATGATGGGGGAAAGATTCTATTGGCAAGAATGAGATAACGAATTGGCAACATGTCCTGGACAGGAGAAGATATTAAATACAGAAAAAATACAGGATGAGTAATCAAGATCCGATCCAATACCCAATCAATGAATTATTTTGCTTTTACTAGTTTACCTTGCCATATCATGTCACGTAAAATTCATATTGATGAATAGGTTCAGGCAGTTAATTTTGATTAATTGATAATTTTGAATTGATAAGGATAAATTAATGACAAACCATAAAATTTTCTAAATCCAGAGTCAAGATTCACCAACACCAACAACCGTGTTCAGTTGGTAGTAAATTGATCCAAGCATACTAGATCTAGTGCATGACATGTAGAATATTACCTTTTATAAATCTGATGTCAAAGTTCATTAACTGTGGAATGAGAAATCATAAATTTTCAAAATCAAACAGTATTTCTGGTATGACACCACCAAAGAATTTTAAAATCAAAAGGAGGCTTTCTTCTGTCAATCTTAATGTTGCATTAAAATTTTGTGGGAATTGGTTGAAGCAAATTTGAGGTTTTGTAGGAAGTGTTCATAGATAAACTACCATCTACCCTAATACGTCCCATCTAAGACAGGCTTGTAATACCACATTTATGAGTATATGCACAGAGGCGATAAATAACACCTTTCCAATACTTAAACAACCACATAAACCACATCTTACTTAAAAGCTTTTTAGAAAGCTAAAACTTGTACATTGTAAAGTAATAGTTCATAAGGTAAATGTTTACAGGAAGACATGTCACCCTACCAGGACACATTGTCAGATTCCTTATAGATTTTATTACCCTTAAAAGACAATTTTGTACTATTTTTTTTATAATTCGCCAATTATCTCGAAACTTTAATAGATAGGTATTAACTGTAACCAGTAACTAGAGGCTCTAAAGAGTGTGTCGCTCACCTAGTAACAAGCGCATATTTAACAATGGCCATTGTCCAGCATTGAACGCTATAATATAATTCATGAATAAAATCTCTTTTTTTGTTGAAGTAATGTTGCTGATATTTTTATGCCTCCGTCATAGCGGTGGTTGCATTAATTTTACCCTTGTCTGTCTGTACGTACGTACGTCCCAAAATTGGTTTGCGTCACTTTAACTGTTCTAGAGTTATGCCCCTTTATAAATGGAAAAATTGCACATTTTTCATTTTCTTCTAAATATCAAGTAATTTTTATACGACCGCAAAAAAATTTTGCGATCGTATGTTGATATGACGTTGTCGGCGTCGTCGTTGTCGTCCGAAGACACATTGGTTTTCGCACTCTAACTTTAGTTTAAGTTAATGGATCTCTATGAAATTTTACCATAAGGTTCAATACCACAAAAGGAAGGTTGGGATTGATTTTGGGGGTTATGGTACCAACAGTTAAGGAATTAGGGGCCAAAAATAAGCATTTTTGTAACTTCCAGACATAACTTGTGTGTTAGTGTATGGATCTCTCTGACATTGTACCACAAGGTTCCATATCACAAAGGGAATGCTGGGATTGATTTTTGGGGTAATTACATCAAAATTTTAGGAATTAGGGGCCAAAAAAGGGACAAAAACAAGCATTTTTATAAGGACAAATACTTTAGTACAAAACATAATTTAAAGCAGTCTAAGGGAGATAAATCAAATTATATCATTTGAATTACCTCCCTTACACTGCTTTTAAATTATGTATAAAGTAATGGTTAATGAACAATTAAGACAATTTAAAACAGTGTAAGGGAGGTAATCCACATACAACGTTTTGATTACTTCCCTTACACTGCTTTTAAATTATGTTTAAAGAAATGCATATTTATAAAGGAAGACCAGTAAAAATATCTGCAAATGTTGCATCTTTTTTTTTTACAAAAAAATCCATATGAAAGATTTGACACCACATTTTAAATTCTATTATAAAATAGATTAAGTTAGCACTATGGTAAATTTAAATGGGTAATTATTTTAAAAAATCTTTTTTATGGGGGGTAAAAAGAAATTGTGGGGGGTAAATTTTTTCTCATTTCAGATTTCAGAAATTAAAAAGAATTATTCTTCAAATATTATTTTTTTTTCAAATTTCAAATATTGAAAAATTTCAAAAAGTAATCTTTAATTGCACAGTATGGCGCATTAGATTTGTAAAATCTTTGACCACATTTATTTGTTATGCCAAATCTGACCGTGTATTTAGATTTCTAATTTTGGGCCCAGTTTTCAAATTGGTCTACATTAAGGTCCACAAAATTAAACTTTGTTTGATTTTAACAAAAATTGAATATATGGGGTTCTTTGATATGCTGAATCTAACCATGTATTTAGATTTTTATTTGTGGGCCCGCTATCAAATTGGTTCATATTGAGGTCAAAAGGGTCCAAAATTAAACTTTGTTTTATTTCATCAAAAATTGAATTATTGAGGTTCTTTGATATGCCAAATCTAACCGTGTATTTAGATTTTTAATTTTGGGTCCAGTTTTCAAATTGGTCTACATTAAGATCCAAAGGGTCCAAAATTAAACTTAGTTTGATTTTAACAAAAATTGAATATATGGGGTTCTTTGATATGCTGAATCTAAACATGTATTTGGATTTTTGATTTCGGGCCCAGTTTTCAAGTTGATCCAAATTGGGGTCCAAAATTAAACTTTGTTTGATTTCAACAAAAATTGAATATATGGGGTTCTTTGATATGCTGAATCTAACCATGTATTTAGATTTTTTATTTGTGGGCCCCGCTATCAAATTGGTTCATATTGAGGTCAAAAGGGTCCAAAATTAAATTTTGTTTTATTTCATCAAAAATTGAATTATTGGGGTTCTTTGATATGCCAAATCTAACCGTGTATTTAGATTATTAATTTTGGGTCCAGTTTTCAAATTGGTCTACATTAAGGTCCAAAGGGTCCAAAATTAAACTTAGTTTGATTTTAACAAAAATTGAATATATGGGGTTCTTTGATATGCTGAATCTAAACATGTATTTAGATTTTTGATTTTGGGCCCAGTTTTCAAGTTGGTCTAAATTGGGGTCCAAAATTAAACTTTGTTTGATTTCAACAAAAATTGAATATATGGGGTTCTTTGATATGCTGAATCTAACCATGTATTTAGATTTTTTATTTGTGGGCCCCGCTATCAAATTGGTTCATATTGAGGTCAAAAGGGTCCAAAATTAAACTTTGTTTTATTTCATAAAAAATTGAATTATTGGGGTTCTTTGATATGCCAAATCTAACCTTGTATTTAGATTTTTGATTATGGGCCCAGCTTCAAGTTTGTCCAAGTTGGGGTCCAAAATTAAACTTTTTTTGATTTCAACAAAAATTGAATAAAATTAAACTTTGTTTGATTTCATCAAAAATTGAATTCTTTGGATTCTTTGATATGCTGAATCTAACCATGTATTTAGATTTTGGATATTGGACCATAATAGGTAAATTTAAAAAAATTTAAGTTCTTAGACCACATTCATTCTGTGTCAGAAACCTATGCTGTGTCAAATATTTAATCACAATCCAAATTCAGAGCTGTATCAAGCTTGAATGTTGTGTCCATACTTGCCCCAACTGTTCAGGGTTCGACCTCTGTGGTCGTATCAAGCTGCGCCCAGCGGAGCATTTTATTAAAATTGGAGTTATTATACGATTGCAAAAAAATTTATGTGTTCGTATATTGGTATGACGTTGGCGTCGTCGTCGTCCGGCGTCGTCCGAAGACACATTGGTTTTCGCACTCTAACTTTAGTTTAAGTGAATGGATCTCTATGAAATTTTACCACAAGGTTCAATACCACAAAAGGAAGGTTGGGATTGATTTTGGGGGTTATGGTACCAACAGTAAAGGAATTAGGGGCCAAAAAGGGGCCAAAAATAAGCATTTTTGTAACTTCCAGACATAACTTGTGTGTTAGTGTATGGATCTCTCTGATATTGTACCACAAGGTTCCATATCACAAAGGCAATGCTGGGATTGATTTTGGGGGTAATTGCCTCAAAATTTTAGGAATTAGGGGACAAAAAAGGGACAAAAAACAAGCATTTTTCTAGTTTCATGACAATAACTTGTGTGTAAGTGTATGGATCTTTCTGAAATTGTACTACAAGGTTCCATATTACAAAAGAGAAAGCTGGAATTGAGTTTGGGGGTTATTGCCGAAACGTTTAGAAATTGGGGGCCAAAAAGGGGCCAAAAATAAGCATTTTTCTAGTTTCCAGACAATAACTTGTGTTCAAGTATATGGATCTCTCTGAAATTGTACTGCAAGGTACCATACCACAAAGGGAAGGCTGGGATTGATGATGGGGGTAATTGCCTCAATATTTTAGGAATTAGGGGCCAAAAAGGGGCAAAAAACAAGCATTTTTCTAGTTTCGGGACAATAACTTGTGTGTAAGTGTATGGATCTTTCTGAAATTGTACTACAAGGTTCCATATCACAAAGGGAAAGCTGGGTTTGAGTTTGGGGGTAATTGGCCTAAACGTTTAGGAATTTGGGGCCAAAAAGGGGCCAAAAAACACATGTTTCTAGTTTCCAGACAATAACTTGTGTTCAAGTGTATGGATTTCTCTGAAATTGTACTGCAAGGTACCATACCACAAAGGGAAGGCTGGAATTGAGTTTGGGGGTGATGAATCATAAGGGGGTTCAAAAATTTGGGGGGGGGGGTTTCCTTTTTCTTCTTTTTTTCCTTTTTTTTTTTCTTTTAAAATTTTCCATTTCAAGTTGGTTATTTCTGATTTATATTTAAAAGCAAATAATAATGATATGGTAGGAGATACACACCAAACAGGATGTGTAAATTATTATATAATAAGTATTGTGCAATAGCAAGAAATTTTCAATTGCACAGTATTGCACAATAGCAAGAAATCTTCAATTGCACAGTATTGCGCAATAGCAAGAAATTTTCAATTGCACAGTATTGCGCAATAGCAAGAAATATCCAATAGCACAATAATGCGCAATAGCAAGAAATTGTCAATTGTACAGTATTGCGCAATAGCAAGAAATATTTAATTGCACAGTATTGTGCAAAAGAAGATACTTCGTATAAATTGCTTATTTCTTGACCAATTTCAATGGGGTTTTATTCTTGAATTCTTGGGGTTCTTTAATATGCTGAACCTAACCGTGTATTTAGTTTGATTTTGGGCCCCGTTTTTAAATTGGTCCACATTGAGGTCCAAAGGGTCCAAAATTAAACTTTGTTTGATTTCATCAAAAATTGAATAATTGGGGTTCTTTGATATGCCGAATCTAACCTTGTATTTAGATTCTTAATTTTTGGTTCCATTATCAAATTGGTCTACATTAAGGTCCAAACGGTCCAAAATTATACTAAGTTTGATTTTAACAAAAATTGAATTCTTAGGGTTCTTTGATATGCTGAATCTAAACATGTATTTAGATTTTTGATAATGGGCCCAGTATTCAAGTTGGTCCAAATCGGGGTCCAAAATTAAACTTTGTTTGATTTCAACAAAAATTGAATATATGGGGTTCTTTGATATGCTGAATCTAACCATGTATTTAGATTTTTGATTTTTGGGCCCCGTTATCAACTTTGTCCACATTGAAGTCAAAAGGGTCCAAAATTAAACTTTGTTTGATTTCATCAAAATTGAATTCTTGGGGTTCTTTGATATGCTGAATCTAACCATGTATTTAGATTTTGGATATTGGACCATAATAGGTGAATGTCCAATTTAAAATTTTTAAGTTCTTAGACCACATTCATTCTGTGTTAGAAACCTATGCTGTGTCAAATATTTAATCACAATCCAAATGCAAAGCTGTATTAAGCTTGAATGTTGTGTCCATACTTGCCCCAACTGTTCAGGGTTCGACCTCTGCGGTCGTATCAAGCTGCGCCCTGCGGAGCATTTTATCTTCCTTTGTCCATGATTATAGTTGAATCAACTACAATCAATGCTTTATACAATGCAATGTTAATTTTGACTTTCACTGATAAAACACAGATCAAGTTGAATTTGGGTAGTGTCACTTTAACCATTATTGAGTTATGCCCCTTTATATATCGAAAGATTGCAAAATTTTTAGTTTCCATTCTGTAACTTAAGTTTGCTCCAACCAAACATTATGAAACCTATACACAATATTTATTACCACAAAACTAAGATCGAGTACAAATTTTTTGTTTCCTTTTTCTAACTTTAGTTTGCCTCAACCAAATGTTATGAGACTTATACACAGTGCTTATTACTACATAATACAGATTAAGTACAAAATTTGGTGGCAACACTTTTCACATTCTTGAGTGACGTCCCTTTATGGTCCGAGTACACAGTTATTTCGTAGTGCATTTCTTTTAGACAATAAATGAAAATAAAAAAAATCCCACCTGCGCTTTCTCAATAATATTTTTACAGTGTGTTGTACTACTTTTGGGACAAATCATATCAAAATTATAGAAAACTTCATCGGCTCTAACTCAAAATATGGACAATTCTATGTTAAGGGGGTCTTGAAATCTTTTGACAGCTTCCGAAGTGCTAATTTTTAACCTTTTTCAGCTGGACCAAATCACTACTTAACTTTACAATTCATGACCCAAATTTTTTTACAGTGTAATTTCATCCCCCTACTTGCTATTTGAGGCATAAAACATGAAGGAATAAATTTGGAAGGGGTACTAAAAAAATTGGCAAGCAACACACTGTCCACACTAGGGACTTTATTCGTGGACAACGAAAATCAAAGGACGATAACTGTGTACTCGGACCTAATAGGATAGAAAAATTTGACCAATCTTAATAAAACTTGGTATGACTAAAGCTTAATAAATTATGAGACTGCTGACAAAGTTTCATGGCAATAGGATATATATTTTAGACAATATGATAAATTCTATATTCAACTTCGCGTGTTAAATTTTGACGTTTAAATTGAAAAATTTCAACTATCAACATTTGGGGCTTTAAAAATCAAAATATTGCAAAAAATTACATTTTAAAGGCCTTAATATATGACATATTATCTATTTAAAGCAATAGAATACTCATTTGATTTATCAGACTTATCACAATTATTTAAAAGTCAAATTTATATGAGCCTGTGCCAAAAAATGGAGGTTTTCCAATGAAGGGGGGCCTTACATGAAGATGTATTATTTTCCAGCAATTTTAAATTTGTGGAGTTTTTTGGTTATAAATAATCCTTACATATGTATTAAATGTACTTTAAATGGAAAGAAAAATTACAAATAGCATACCATATTAGTATAAAAGGGTCTTAAGCCAAGTAAGACTGAAAATAATTTAGGGTCAATTTAGGCCGTAGCACATATTTACATTTAAAAATGCATACTGAAGCTATAGGAAATAAAAATTTGTGTCTTTTTTATAATTTCTATACTCAGGTTACATGATACAATAAATCTGAGCATAAAAGGACTCTTGCATTCAACTTTTTTTGCAGACAGTATGGTCTGATACAAAGATTTTTCACTTTTTAGTGAAAAACTTGCATGCAATTTTAGCCTCAGCAGGCTTATATTTGAACCACTTGCTATTTAACATAAGAAAAGAAAGATACTATGTGAAATGAAACAGGTACAAAAGACATTGTGAAGTGCTTTTAATACAAATTTAGTAAAATCTTTATTATGGACTTCAACTTTTATGTACCTAGGTCCTCACATTTAACTTGATCCAAACAGGCCGTTACACGAGGGTCATTTATACAACACATTTTGCACATATTGTCTGAGATAATCTTATTTTCTGTAGATTCAGAGTTCACAAATGAGTAATACAACTGGGTTAAAGCATAGAAACACAAATATTGACACAGGAAAACCTGTCACATAGAAAGTCAGAATGCCACTTATGCATCAAAATTGAAAAAGCTTTGAAATGCTTATTTTGACCATATAATGCCAAAATGGATAATTTTTGCAGAATTTCTATCAAATAAAAGTTTAAATCCTTTAGTTTCATGCTATTTGACAAATTGACACCATTAAATCATTCAGGGAAGTTGCCAAAGTACAGATTCTATATTTACTGATTTCGCCTCTTAGGTCCGAGTACACAGTTATTTCGTAGTGCATTTCTTTTAGACAATAAATGAAAATAAAAAAAATCCCACCTGCGCTTTCTCAATAATATTTTTACAGTGTGTTGTACTACTTTTGGGACAAATCATATCAAAATTATAGAAAACTTCATCGGCTCTAACTCAAAATATGGACAATTCTATGTTAAGGGGGTCTTGAAATCTTTTGACAGCTTCCGAAGTGCTAATTTTTAACCTTTTTCAGCTGGACCAAATCACTACTTAACTTTACAATTCATGACCCAAATTTTTTTACAGTGTAATTTCATCCCCCTACTTGCTATTTGAGGCATAAAACATGAAGGAATAAATTTGGAAGGGGTACTAAAAAAATTGGCAAGCAACACACTGTCCACACTAGGGACTTTATTCGTGGACAACGAAAATCAAAGGACGATAACTGTGTACTCGGACCTACATATAAATATAAAAATTGCTGAATTTTTCGTTTCCGTTCTCGTAACTTTAGTTTGTCTCAACTAAATGTTATAAAAATTATACACAACTGTTCTAGAGTAATGCGTGTTTACAAATAGAAAAAATTGCTGAATTTTTAGTTTCTGTTCTCTACTTAAGTTAGCCTCAACCAAATGTTATGAGACTTACACACAATGTTTATTACCACAAAACTCAGATCAAGTTCAAATTTGGGTAGCGTCACTTTTACCGTTCTTCAGTTATGTCCCTTTATAACTATATGATATGCAAGCGGGGGCATCATCTGTGTCCACATGTGGACACTATCAACATTTCTTTCTGTTTAGTTTCTATCTGCTATAGTTTTTGCAAAAACTCAAAAAAGTGTAAAAATAGATTTTGGCCATGTTGACTTTTTTGTAGATCTTGTCTTGCTGATCATTTTTGCTAGTTAAAGTTTCTATTATAGTTTTCAAGATCATAAGCAAAAATAATAACAAGAGGCTCCCAGACAAAACTTGCATTTTTAGCCATGTTGTCCATGTTTGTTGGCAGGCTGGATTATCGGACACATTTTGAAACTACATGTAGATACTAAAAATGATGGTTGTGGGCAATTTTGGTTCCAATTGGCCCAATTGTTTCAGAGAAGATGTTTGTAAAAAAGCTGAGGGACAAAGACAACCAACCAGGGACACCAAGTGATGAGAAAAGCTCACTTGACCCTTTGGATGAGGAAAACTAAAATTGACAGAATTGGTGTGACAAAATTTTCAGACCCTTAATCAGGTATAATAGTTTCTGAGATACAGATCTTATCCTAAAAACTTAAACTTGACAATATCACCATGAAAATGAGGTCAAGGACATTTATACCTCTCAACCAATCCACAGACCAGATATGGTTGATCAATCATGTATAGATACTGATAGATGGACCTAATCCTGAAAACTGCACCTAACCAGTGGGTGTGAAAGTTAGGTGAAGGTCATTTTGACTAGATGACAATATGTCATCATTTCATATTAATTTTCAATAATCTAGGTGAAAGTGGGAATAATACAGTATTAAGATATTTGCAAATGGTTCAAGCTACCAACAACCCAGAGAAGTACTACTAAAGTTAGGACAACAGGTGAAACAAACAAGGCCAAAAAAAGATGTTTTAAGGGTTACTAACCTAAAAAAAAATGTAGGGTCGGTGAACCATGAAAATAAGGAAAGACAGAAATTTCAGAACATAGGGCATCTGTATGAAAGATATGCAGTATACAGGTTTCTACCTTCTGAAATATAAATCTCTACCACCACCCCTAGATAAGCCTCTCATTGTTTTGTGCAAATTACTTTAAATCAGTATGAAATGTCTTAACAAATGCTTATCAAAGATACCAGGCTTATAATTTAGTACACCAGATGCACGTTTCATTAACATGGGATTGATTAATTGATAGGAAGTGACTTACTTATCAGGGGCACTTAAACCAAAACAGTAGAAGGCCATAATCCTATCTGTATCATTGTTCCATTTGCTCAGTATCAACTCCAAAGAAAAATTCAATATTGTTAAAATAAACTGCTTCGCTGAGCGCAGCTGGATACGCCCACAGAGGTCCAACCCTGAACAGTTGGGGCAAAAATGGATACAATATTCAAGCTTGATACAGGTCTGAATTTGGATTGTAATTAAATATTTGACATATTACAGGTTTCTGAATAAATGTAGTCAAAGAACTTGAAATTGGTTATATGAATTGAATTTATATTCAATTAAAGATTTCTTGCTGTTGTGCAAAACACTGTGCTGTTGCGCAATACTTAGTAAATCTGTTGTCAGACTATAAACAAATAAAGTTCAATTAATTCTCAATGTCATATTAGAAATTTATGAAAATCAAAAGGGAGCTTACATCACTAGATATAAACAATTCACCAAAGTTTCATGAGAATTGCTGACAGCATTTTTGAGTTATTGTCCGAAAACTGGAAAATCCCCCCTTTTTTAATGAATAAAACCCCATAACTCAGAAATGTAAAATGTAAAATTTATAAAATTCTAAAGGGAGCTTACTTAAATAGATATAAACAATTCACCATAGTTTCATAAGAACTGCTGTAAGCATTTTTGAGTTTTTGTCAGAAAACTGGAAAATCCCCCTTTTTTATGAACAAGAGTGCACACGCTGAAATGTCTCGCCTTCTTTACTAATCATTGATATTATGTTGATAGTCCTAAATATAAAGCTTTATTACAACTGTCACATAAACTTAACATTAACCAAGTAAACTAAACATTGACCAATGAACCATGAAAATGAGGTCAAGGTCAGATGAACCATGCTAGGCAGGCATGTACAGCTAACAATTCTTCCATACAACAAATATAGTTGACCTATTGCTTATAGTTTAAGAAAAACAGACCAAAACACAAAAACTTAACACTGAGCAATGAACCTTGAAAATGAGGTCAAGGTCAAATAAAACCTGCATGACTGCCAAATAGATCATAAAATATTTCCATACACCAAATATAGTTGAACTATTGCATATAGTATTAGAAAAAAAGACCAAAACTAAAAAAACTTAACTTTGACCACTGAACCATGAAAATGAGGTCATGGTCAGATGACACCTGCCCGCTTGACATGTACACCTTACAATCATTCCATACACCAAATATAGTAGACCTATGGCAAACAGTATAAGAAAAACAGACCAAAACACAAAAACTTAACTATAACCACAGAACCATGAAAATGAGGTCAAGGTCAGATGACACCTGCCAGTTGGACATGTACACCTTACAGTCCTTCCATACACCAAATATACAAGACCTATTGCTTATAGTATCTGAGATATGGACTTGACCACCAAAACTTAACCTTGTTCACTGATCCATAAAATGAGGTCGAGGTCAAGTGAAAACTGTCTGACGGGCATGAGGACCTTGCAAGGTACGCACATACCAAATATAGTTGAACTATTGCATATAGTATTAGAAAAAAAGACCAAAACTCAAAAACTTAACTTTGACCACTGAACCATGAAAATGAGGTCAAGGTCAGATGACACCTGCCCGCTAGACATGTACACCTTACATTCATTCCATACACCAAATAAAGTAGACCTATGGCATACAGTATAAGAAAAACAGACCAAAACACAAAAACTTAACTATAACCACTGAACCATGAAAATGAGGTCAAGGTCAGATGACACCTGCCAGTTGGACATGTACACCTTACAGTCCTTCCATACACCGAATATACAAGACCTATTGCTTATAGTATCTGAGATATGGACTTGACCACCAAAACTTAACCTTGTTCACTGATCCATGAAATGAGGTCGAGGTCAAGTGAAAACTGTCTGACGGGCATGAGGACCTTGCAAGGTACGTACATACCAAATATAGTTATCCTATTACTTATAATAAGAGAGAATCTAACATTACAAAAAATCTGAACTTTTTTTTCAAGTAGTCACTGAACCATGAAAATGAGGTCAAGGACATTGGACATGTGACTGACGGAAACTTCGTAACATGAGGCATCCATATACAAAGTATGAAGCATCCAGACCTTCCACCTTCTAAAATATAAAGCTTTTAAGAAGTTAGCTAACGCCGCCGCCGCCGCCGGATCACTATCCCTATGTCGAACTTTCTGCGACAAAAGTCGCAGGCTCGACAAAAACTTAACTATAACCACTGAACCATGAAAATGAGGTCAAGGTCAGATGACACCTGCCAGTTGGACATGTACACCTTACAGTCCTTCCATACACCGAATATACTAGACCTATTGCTTATAGTATCTGAGATATGGACTTGACCACCAAAACTTAACCTTGTTCACTGATCCATGAAATGAGGTCGAGGTCAAGTGAAAACTGTCTGACGGGCATGAGGACCTTGCAAGGTACGCACATACCAAATATAGTTATCCTATTACTTATAATAAGAGAGAATCTAACATTACAAAAAATCTTAACTTTTTTTTCAAGTAGTCACTGAACCATGAAAATGAGGTCAATGACATTGGACATGTGACTGACGGAAACTTCGTAACATGAGGCATCCATATACAAAGTATGAAGCATCCAGACCTTCCACCTTCTAAAATATAAAGCTTTTAAGAAGTTAGCTAACGCCGCCGCCGCCGCCGGATCACTATCCCTATGTCGAGCTTTCTGCGACAAAAGTCGCAGGCTCGACAATAAAACCCTGTAACTCGGAAACGTAAAATCTAAAGTTTATAAAAATTCAAAGGGAGCTCATGTCAATAGATATAAACAATTCACCACAATTTCTTGAAAATTGGTGAAAGCATTCTTGAGTTATTGTCCGAAAACTGGAAAATCCCCCTTTTTTTAATGAATAAAACCTCATAAGTCAGAAACTTAAAATTTTAAATTTATAAAAAACGAAAGGGAGCTCACGTCAATAGATATAAACAATTCACCAAAGTTTTATGCAAATTGGTTAAAGCGTTTTTGAGTTAGTGTCCGACATGTTGACGACGGACGGACAGACGGACGGACGGACAGACGGACAGACGGACAGAGGTATACCATAATACGTCCCGTAAACGGGCGTATAAAAATTTCAAAAAAACAATCGTAAAATCATAATTTCACTATCTCTTTATTTTTTGTATTATTAAACATTAAATATTTTTTTACAAAAGTTTGACATAATAAAATAATATACATTAAATGGTTCAATCAGATGACAGGTATGTGTAACAAAATTGTTCCAAATAGTTCATTTAATAACACAAAAATGGGCTACACTTAAAAGTAACCTTTTTATCCTATAGTATTAAACTTTCTAAACAAATATCTGTCTGCAATGATAATATTATTGGGTATGAAATGTATTCCCAAATTAAATCAATATGTATATTAAAGTAATATTTCTTAGTGTGAAATGCATTTGTAAATTAAAATGATATTGAATCTTTCTATTCAATAATATAGGGATTTTTCAAAACTATTTAACATTGATTTAATTTGAAAATCAATAATTTCAACATATGTATTTAAAATACTGATAAGTTAGTATACATTTTCCAATGAATTTAATACATGAATAGATGTGTATTTCAAGAACTGTTACGACGTCATGTCCTTGTATAGAGCCTACTCAGTTTGCCTTTACTACAACATCAACTTTCCATATTCTTCTAGCAAAAAGTATCTTGTTCAATTTACATATCTTTGTCACCCTCAAAAACAAGACCTAATAATGTTTGCATAAGACTCTGACACAATCAATTCTTGCTTCCAATGAACACTGGAACAACATTTAACCTCCCCTTCTTGCACTTCAAGTTAATGCTATCTCAATGCTGGTAGATTCAATGTGAATATTGTCTCTCCGTCATTGCCACAAATTAAAGCATGACCTGTAATGTCTAATGAATTGATGGGAAGTGATTTGTCAGATAATAATGATGTGATCTCCATTTTGTTCTTAGCTATTTCTGTTTCTAACCATGGATTGACTGCTGTTTGCGACGGGAGAGAACCACCACCAGATCCTGCACCTTGAATGAAATTTACAATAAATACACCATTCCTGAAGATTTTTAAGTATATATCCCACAAATAAATATGGGTGTTGTTTCTTTAATCTCTTATCTTAGAAACAATTACCTTGCTTTTACTTTTATTTGAAGTAATTCTGACCACAAAACAATTATTTCTTGAAAAGCCCTTTGAAATTAACACACAAAATACCTGGTTTTTCTTCTGGCTTACTGACCCTAAACTTTATATGGTCAATAGCAGTTTATACTGAGGGATGTTCTGTAAATAAATGTGTAGTGTGATCCTGGCCAGAAAATAAATAGATGTGTAGTGTAATCCTGGCCAGAAAACTGTAATTAAATGTGTAGTGTGATCCTGGCCAGAAAACTGTAAATAGATGTGTAGTGTGATCCTGGCCAGAAAACTGTAAATAGATGTGTAGTGTGATCCTGGCCAGAAAACTGTAAATAAATGTGTAGTGTGATCCTGGCCAGAAAACTGTAAATAGATGTGTAATGTGATCCTGGCCAGAAAACCGTAATTAAATGTGTAGTGTGATCCTGGCCAGAAAACTGTAAATAAATGTGTAGTGTGATCCTGGCCAGAAAACTGTAAATAAATGTGTAGTGTGATCCTGGCCAGAAAACTGTAAATAAATGTGTAGTGTGATCCTGGCCAGAAAACTGTAAATAAATGTGATGTGATCCTGGCCAGAAAACTGTAAATAAATGTGGTGTGATCCTGGCCAGAAAACTGTAAATAAATGTGTAGTGTGATCCTGGCCAGAAAACTGTAAATAAATGTGTAGTGTGATCCTGGCCAGAAAAACTGTAAATAGATGTGGTGTGATCCTGGCCAGAAAACTTTATTTAAAATATTTTAATAAGAAAATAACCTTTTCTTAAAAAGAATGTGACAGTTTTAAATTTACGTTATGTTCAAACCAGGTGAAATTCATTAAGTAATATGTAGTACAGTCAGATTTACCTGTTCCTGAAAAATGATTAATTGCTGCCATAGAAAATGAATTAATTTGTGTGGAATCCCAATGCCATAAACTACCATCATCGGAACATGAAAATAAATGGTCTGGACTTGTTTTATGAAATTTTAACTCCCACACTGAAAATAAAACAAGAAACATAAAAATCAAAATCAAGTTAAAACAACTAAAGCTTAAAATACAATGCAAGATTTATCTGTTTTTTTATTAATCTTTGAAATTCTGAATTGTGAAAGAGGTCTTTCAAGTTATTTTGGTGGAGCTCTGCATACCATTTTTCACCCATTACACAAACATAATATAATTCTTAACCAAATGTTATATTTATTCATTGAATTCCTTTGACTGAGGAAAATTAGTATTTTTCATGGATACTTGATACTTATTTATGTCCATTTCTTTTGGACAAATTTTACACATAACCTATGATTTAGACAAAAATGTTAAATATGATTCTTTTTGTACTAATAAAAGTGGATTTTCAAAATTATATTTTGTTATAAGCAGTCAGTTTGGCCCAAATTTGTCAAAATAAGCTCAAAAACATCACTGATGTATTATTGACTTGCAAGTCAATTATCTAACCTTGTTGAATCAGTTTTAATGTGACTTTCAATTGAACCCCTTAGCTAGAGATCGGTTAAACATGTACTAGGCATGTTCAGGTATTAAAAGGAAAGATGTTAACATTGAAAGTCAAACAAGGGTGAACCATTTGGTTGACTGGTTCAATCCACAAAAAATCATTCTTATACAGGTAAAAACGACGATTAACATATTTTTTAAACCTATAATATGAAATCAAACAGACCTAGCAAAATCCAATTGCACGTGCTCATTAAATATTTGTATTTATATTTGTGTGTATATCAGGTTATATTACCCTTGGCAGTCTTTGAAGGTCATCTCCATGGTTAATTAGATGGTGTCTGGATTAAAATACACACAAAATGCTGATACATATTGTCGAGTCCATGCATTGTTAATTGTTTATTTTAGTTCTTTTGTAATTTGGATATACGTTTTAGTATGTCATAAATCAAATATGAGAATTGGAGTCAAATCTGTGAACATGAATTTGACAGCAAATGCCCCTTTAAACACTTAAATCCCTTTACCTATAACGCAAAAAATCCATTTATTTATTTCGTTGGACAAGTAGCTTACCAGTGCTTGAGTGTGCCTCCATGAGGGATACTGGAAATTTATCCTGCCGTAAGTCCCAGATTCCTAGGGTACCATCATCCCCACCTGTAGCTACTATATGGGACTGACTAGGATGTTTATCCACACATTGTAAAGGTGTTAAATCTCCTGTCCTGAAATTTTACCAAATTTTGAATTAATGCAATATAAATATCTATAATACAGCTTTAGAACATTAATATCAAATGAATATTTGCTCCAAGAGTTTCAAGATGCTCTGAAATATTCACATAAATGTTGCTCTATAACCTCAGAAATTTTAGTGATGTCAACCATCATACTCAGTGGTAAGCAAAAATTGTACACTAACAAGGGCTTAAACTATCTTAATCTTTTTACTTAATATTTGAAAAAAAGTTTGTAGTTTCATCCATTAACATTGGATAATTTAGTAGCATGCTACATATGTATATACAAAAATATTTATTACTAATTACTGGGTATGTCAACTGGGTGAAGAATTACTAATAGAGTACTTGTTGTTGGCTTTACCATGCAATACTCGAGTACTTGCTTGGAAAAATATATTCAAATGGAAACACAAAATTATACCCATTTTATGTATTGTGAGTTATTGTCTAATGGATGTAAAACCCTCAACATTTTTATCATGCTACATTCCTACATACAACTAGACAAAGTGATGCCTCGCACTCCACTCTGAAGTAACTGTATGATAACAAAGTCAACGTAGGACTATCTTTGAGATAATATTGTGTCTGGGAGACACAAATGATGCCCCCGCAGATGCAAAGTGTTATTTTAAAATACACAAAGTTGAGCATGGGACCATATAGGTCAAAGGTTCAGATCAAATGGTAGCTCCTTAATCAGCATCGTATGACATTTATTTTTAAGCACCTCTTATGCAAGTATATACTCCAAAAATGACAAAGTTCAACTATCTCCAAAAAGAGCAAATATTAATAAAAATCAAAACCCTAACCACATGCACACCTTCAATATATGTACAAACAGCAAGCAAAGTGAAAACTTTCTAGCATTCAAACTGTAGCAGGAGTTATCTGGAAACGCTATGCACCTCTTATGCAAGTATATACTCCAAAAATGACAAAGTTCAACAATCTCCCAAAAGAGCAAATATTAATAATAAACTGTTAACACAGAGATATGTCTCGCCTTTTTTGTAATTTTGATACGGCAAATGTTGAAATTAAAATAGCAATACTTTAGCATGTAAGTTATGCAAATATTCAAAGTCAATGAACCATGACTGAAGGTACATGGCTACACGATCTCCATGGAAATGAGATGTGCCAATGCTAATACAACTGCATACCAAATACCATTGACTTATCATCAGTCCTAAACACAAACATTAACTTGTAAACAATGTAAAAGTTTCAAAGTCAATGAACCATGATGAGGGGGTGGGGCTATATAATCTCCATGGAAACAAGACTTGCAAATGCCAATACATTTGCCTTTTTGTAATTTTGATACTGCAAATGTTGAAATTAAAATAGCAATACTTTAGCATGTAAGTTATGCAAATATTCAAAGTCAATGAACCATGACTGAAGGTACATGGCTACACAATCTCCATGGAAATGAGATGTGCCAATGCTAATACAACTGCATACCAAATACCATTGACTTATCAACAGTCCTAAACACAAACATTAACTGGTAAACAATGTAAAAGTTTCAAAGTCAATGAACCATGATGAGGGGGTGGGGCTATATAATCTCCATGGAAACAAGACTTGCAAATGCCAATACATTTGCATACCAAATATCATTGGCTTAACATTAGCGGTTCATCTTAAACTGATCTAATCACAAACTAATACATGTCAACTAATCAAAAGTTTCAAGGTCAATAGACCATGACTGAGGGGGTGGGGCCAAATATTCTCCATGGAAATGAGATGTGGTAATGCTTATACAACTGCATACCAAATATCATTGGCCTACCACTAATGGTTCCCCTTAAACTGACCTAATCACAAACTAATACATGTAAACTAAGCAAAAGTTTCAAAGTCAATAGACCATGACTGAGGGGGCAGGGCCAAATAATCTCCATGGAAATGAGATGTGCCAATGCTAATACAACTGCATACCAAATATCATTGACCTACCACTAGTGGTTCACCATGAACTAGACCTAATCACAACTAATGCATTGTTGACGCCGTCACCGCCGGAAACAGCATACCTATGTCTCACTTTTTGACTCCGTCATGGCGAGACAAAAATCAAAACCCTGACCACATGCACACCATTAATCGTGATAGTTGGCAGGCTGTGCTATGCACCTCTTATGCAAGTATATACTCCAAAAATGACAAAGTGCAACTATTTCCAAAAAGAGCAAATATTAATAAAAATCACAACCCTGACCACATGCACACCTTCAATATATGTTCAAACAGCCAGCAAAGTGAAAACTTCCTAGCATTCAAGTTATTGGGAGTTATCTGGAATAACTATATACCCATAATGGGATAGATGGATGGACGGACGGAAGGACGGACAGGCGGACAGGGGTAAAACAATATGCCCCCCAACTTTTAGTTGCGGGGGCTTAAAAATATGTCACAAAAGCCTACAGTTAATGTATACCAGTAGTTCATTGTTGTTCACTTACACAGACAAAGTTTGGGCAGGATCATCAGATTTGCTCCGTAAGTCATATATTTTAAGCTGGCCCGTACTATTTACGGTTAGAAATTCAAACTGTTTAAGGAATATTACACCATTCACTGTACAGCTGTCGGCTTTTCCTGTTGAGAGAAAAAGTAATGTCTTTCTGAAACTGAGAATTTACAAGAATTGCAAAGGAACACATTTAACAACAATGGTTTTATTACTCATAATAATTTGATTTTCCACAGGTTTCAAAGGGGAATTATTTCTTCCCAATAATACCATGCTTGGCACCTGGTCAACATTTAAAATGAGGATCTTTGTACATTTGTACAGGTTCTACCAAAAATACATTGCCTAGGTTTCTGAAGTTTTCCTGTAGTTTCAGAGGATTTTTTTTTTTAATTGGTCAATCAGAATCAAAGATTGCCTCTGCTGGCTATGATTTGCATTTGATCAGAATGTGAAAATGAAATTATTAATTTTTAACAGGAACTTCCATTCATTATTCCAGCCAAATTTGGTTTCATATATATTTAACCATGATATGTCTACATCTCTACCAGTAAGTAATTTGTAAATAATATTTCAATTACAGATGATCTAATATTTCAATTACAGATGATCAGTAAACACTATTCACGTGACTTTGTCATTTCCTTCTAACCACTGAAGGCAATCAATGCAATTTTAACCTCAAGACTCTGTAATACTATTGAAAAATAAATGGGGAATGTGTCCATGGGACACAGATGATGCCTCCGCTTGCATATCATATAAAGTTATACAGGGACATAACTGAAGAATGGTAAAAGTGACGCTACCCAAATTTGTACTTGATCTGAGTTTTGTGGTAATAAGTATTGTATGCAGTATAAGTTTCATAACATTTGGTTGAGGCAAACTAAAGTTAGAGAACGGAAACGAAAAATTCAGCAATTTTTCCATTTGTAATGGAGCATTACTCATGAACAGTAAAAGTGACGCCACCAAAATTCAAACTTGATCTGTGTTTTGTGGTAATAAGCACTGTGTATAAGTTTCATAACATTTGGTTGAGGCAAACTAAAGTTAGAGAACGGAAACCAAAAATTCATCAATTTTTTCATTTGTAAAGGGGCATAACTCATGAACGGTAAAAGTGACACCACTAAAATTCAAACTTGACCTGTGTTTTGTGGAAATAAACATTGTGTATAAGTTTCATAACATTTGGTTGAGGCAAACTAAAGTTAGAGAACAGAAACGAAAAAATTCATTAATTTTTCCATTTGTAAAGGGGCATAACTCTAGAATGGTAAAAGTGACACCACCAAAATTCAAACTTGATCTGTGTTTTGTGGTAATAAGCATTGTGTATAAGTTTCATAACATTTGGTTGAGGCAAACTTAAGTTAGAGAACAGAAACCAATTTTGGGACGTACGTATGTTTGTACTTACAGACAAGAGTAAAACTTAATGCCCCCTTCGCTACGGCGGGTGCATAAAAAAGCTTAACTCATTTCCCCAAGATATTGCATGTCCACTCTGTCTGGTCAGTACAGGAATCAGAAGTTTTACCCATTCTGTGCTCACTTTTACATGAGACAAGTGGAAATGACAAAGTCTAACTGACCTGAAGAGTATGTTAATTTTGTAAAGACAGGAAAGACTAGTCTACCCTAGTAACAAACCTATTGTTCTATTTGGGTCCTTCTGAGCTATATTAAGTACATTTATCCTGCCATCTTCACCAGCCGTAATTATGCAGTCTTCTCTGACAGCCAGACAGGTACATGGACATGGTTTATTACAGTGATGATGAAGTCTTTCCCACTGATGTGAGTTACCAAGTGTCTAAAATTATAAATATGATCTTGTTTATTAAAGAGCTGTATGCTTCATAACAAAATATTTATTTCCTGGTATCAGAAAGGCAATATGGATCCTTTCCATGCTCTTTCTTCTATCAGGAGGTGAAAAAGGCGGCTTTACAGAGCGAAATATAATGAATTTGCAGAACACGCTAGTTTCTATCCTTAAAAAATTTTAGTTTTCAAATTTAAAAGAAGACAAAGGACAGACTAGGCAGACACCGTATTTGCTTTCATTATTTTTTTTCAGAAGAAGATTAAAATTGATCAGGTCCTACATCAAAGCTAACATAATCATCATCTGTAAACCACGTATTTAAAAACCTACACGATAATTACTTGTTAACTTGTGCTATGTTTACACAATGTGAATGTTCCCTAGGATACTCACCTGTGAACTTATTTATGTTGATATAATTTGACTGTTCCCTTGGATACATGTGCTATTTTCACATGTGACTGTTACCTTGATTGCTTACTTGTAAACTTGTTTCATGTTTACATATTGTGACTGTTCCCTTGGATACTTACTTGCTTTTGTGATGAACTATATAATGTGACTGTTCCTAAGGATTCAAAAATGTAAGCTTTTGCAATGTTTATATAGAATGTATAATGTGACTGTTCCCAAGGATAGTTACATGTGAACTTGTGTGATTTTATAAGTGACTGTTCCAAAGAATTCTTACCTGTGAGCTTGTGTGATGTTTATATAATGTGACTGTTCCTGACGATGAAGATGATACAATGTGATCTTCTGAAATGAACTAAAAAATAAAAAAAACATTTTAGTGTAGTTGCTTAAAACAGTCAAATAAACGATAAAAGATTCTTAAAAAATATTTCACAGAAAATTCACAAGCATACATTTTTACTATACATGTACATGTACATGTATAATTTTATTTTTCGAAATTATGATAAAAAAAGTGTGCTGAAAAATATGTCTAATTAGTCTATCTGGATTTAAAGTAACTGACCATCAATGTATGACATGTATGAAGGGTTTCTGATCATCGTATTTTGACAAAGATAACATACATGTATATACTCTATAACAAACCTCTAGCCCTGTTACATCCCCTATATGGGAGGCCTCACAAATAGGTATTGGGTCATTATCAACATCCCCTTCTGTTCCTCTGCCATCTCCTTCATTTTCAAATTTCTTTTCTCTATTTACTTTCCATAAACATACTTTATTTTCCTGCAAAAGAAAAGATTTTAATTCAAAATACTTTATATACAAAATATTTGGATTGTAATTAAATATTTGACACATTATAGGTTTCTGACACAGAATAAATGTAGTCAAAGAATTTGAAATTGGTTATATGATTTGAATTTATATTCAATTGAAGATTTCTTGTTGTTGTGCAATACACTATGCTGTTGCGCAATACTTAGTAAATTTATCTGTTTTAAGACTATATACAAAGAATTAGCAAAATAAATTGTGACCCCCAATTCTTCTTTTGGTAAATTGATAATTTCTTAAATCTTGAGGAAAAAATATTGACTCCCCCCAAAAAAATTTAAAAGTAAAATACGGATAAACAGGATTTTTTTTTAACAAAATTTACTTTTGAATACTATCTTATGATCACTAACAAGCTTCTGTCCAAGTGTGGTACAAATCCAGGATAGTTTAAGAAAGTTATTAAAATTTGAAAAACTATAACCACTTAGTGAATGTTATGTTAACTGGCAGAAAAACTAAGTCCATATACGAGTAAAATACGAATAAACAGGATTTTTTTTTACAAAATTTTCTTCTGGTTACTATCTTATGATTTTAAACAAGCTTCTGTCCAAGTTTGGTACAAATCCAGGATAGTTTAAGAAAGTTATTAAAATTTGAAAAACTTTAACCACAGAGTGAATGTAATGTTAACTGGCAGAAAAACTTAGTCCATTTATGAGTAAAATACTGATAAACAGGATTTTTTTTTACAAAATTTACTTCTGGATACTATCTTATGATCATAAACAAGCTTCTGTCCAAGTTTTTTTGAAATGCAGGATAGTTTAAGAAAGTCCGAGTGGACACTTTTTCACAGGACACTTTTATGGCTCACACTTATTCATTTAACCCTTTCAACGCTACACAAAAAAAAAGAAAAATGGCTGCTGCTGCTGCATTTTTTTTGTGTTCGTTAATTAGAACAGTATATTCCTTTTCAGACTGCTGTATCTTTTATATTATTATGTAGAAGGTCCAGTAACAACAACACTTTAAGGAATGCTCCATTAATTTATTGAGATCGACATGTTTCGGTGGCTAGGCCACCGTCATCAGGATAGAAAATACATAAATCATGCTGAGGTACAAAATCAGGTTGAGAAAATTAAAACGTCACAATCTGTTTAAATTTTTATATTATTCATTTTATTAGAGATACAGACAAAGTTAGTGCATAAAAAATGCTCAGGAGAGCATGAACTGTAATGTTATGCAATTATTATAGTAAAATTTTCATCAAGCTACCTGCATTTTCAGGTAATTAACAGGTAAAAGGTGTAAATTATTGTATTTGTGTTGAATTTTGAATAAAAACAACTTTTAATCTTCATTTATTTTGTTGTTTTATCTGCCATATAATAAAGAAGACACCAGTTGCTTGATTCCATAGCGTATTTGCACCTTACACAACGTATAATGTAAACGTGGCTCAAATAAGTGGCTCTGTCTTCAAAGTTTGCAGTCAACCTCAGTCCCCCCCCCCCTTTTCGTCTCGTAAAGATAGACCAAATCATATTTCCCACATGAATTGAATGTAATTAACACATTGAGACAACAGGAAACCTTTTAACTATTCCTCGTTGTCAGTTTCACCATAGAAATGCTGAAATATTTCCATATTTTCAGGGTCTTTTTCGATTTCCACCATTTGCATTTGTCAAAATATTTTTTTTATTTTTCTTCTACTGCATGCTTTTACCATTAAAATTCCAGCGATTTCAAGCGCAAACGGGACCTTGTATATCCTCGATTCATACGAGGAAAAAATTAGAGAGGACCCGAATGAAAACCGAATGGTTACGAGCCTGGAGGGAAAATCCATCGTTATCGCGACATATGCCGCGAACAGCAGTGGCGGGCGGCGTACGTCATCGTGGCATAGGCTGTGTATAGCGTTGAAAGGGTTAACAATTGAAATTAGAAAAAATTTTAAAAAAACAGATATAACATTTAAGATTCTATTCAAACCGTTTACTAGATCACTTGAACTTAGCAACCATAATTGTCCAAAAACTGAAGGACAAGTGATTGAAGTGGCTTACGTCCCAGACTGATTCTTTTACAACTTTACCCTAAGGTTTGATTTCACAAGGAATAAATACACGTAACATGCTTAAGTGGAAGGAATATGATAGTGTTATAAGTCTTACAAGATATACATTAGGACATTTCTTATACATGTAGCCAACTTGTACATGTCACATTGAATGAATGTATGCTAACATAATCTGTAAACAAAAATTAAATATCTTTACTTAAATTCTAAATACATTGTCATCATGGTCATGATGCTTAAGTTCCCAGATAGTTTGGCTTTTTCTTGTTTCTGATCACATTTTTATGTAACAGTCACTTGGAAACACCAGCAGATATCCATGCAGTGTAAGGATCAACACAACGTCTTCTGCTTGAAAATATCAACTTATATAGGTAATGTCACCTTACCGTATGTTTTTATCAGGTTGAGGGCCTAGTCAAAATTGAAGTGTAGTTGAATATTTTACCATTTTACACAGTTGTTACAGTCTTAGGTGAAAATCTATTAATCAAAATTATTCTGTTCTCAAATTTGCCCGAGAGGAAAACTAGGCTGATGCATTCAAAATGTTACTAAATACAACTTTTTCAACCTCTAAGTTGAAACAAGAGCTATCCTGGAACGGAAGCAAGTTAACTCGTACCATTGTAAACTAGTACCACGTAAACTCGTACCAACGTAAACTCGTATCACTGGGAAGTCGTACCAATCAGAACTCGTACCATTAAAAATATATAATAAAAAATACAAATGTTTTATGATTTTTTTTTGGTAAACTTAATAAAAAAAGTTGAATTACTTGAATTTTATACTAGATTTTAATGAAAACTTAGACAAAAATACGAATGATTATATAATTAATGATTATTTTTTTTAAGCTACATACAAAAAATTAAAATATCTTTGAATATACCAGATTTTAATGAAAAATCAACTTTTTAATCATATTATTAAATTTTGATTGTTGTTATATAATTTAACAGCTTGGAATTAAATGTATAATGTTTATTATCAAATGAAATTCCTGATTATCAAAACACAAGCTGACATGATTTGTCTCAAAGCCCACTTTCCTCATAAAATGGGGCATGTTTGTGAGGTTACTCATAACCACAATGGAAGACGACAATTGTATATGGTGCCACTCTCAGGTTAGACCCCGACAAGAAGCAATAGAGTGTGATCTATTTTCTAAATGACAACACAGAAAGTGCGGAAATATAGGTAGCTACAAATTGGTCATTGTAATTTCAAATAATATACATTTTACAGACTTAAGAGGTATTGAGTGAAATTAAACACCATTTGAATGCATTTAAACAAGGATTTGTATAGTGAGAAGGATTGGAATCTCATGGACTATTTGCATTGCCTGTATTGAAATAAGCTGCGTATGATGGGATTTTGCGAGATTTACCGTGATGCATCTCGTTAGTCGTTTTTCGTCCACCATTACAAGTTGAATTTATGTCATTTCCAGATAAACTCGGCGTTTTGTAAGTATACTATAACAAAATTACATGATGTGATACTTTTAAGTGCAAGTTTATGACAGTTCTGATTCAAAAAACAGTTTATATCTTTACAAAACACATTGTCTGCATCTAAATATACTATGCATTTTATCAATTGGTCATCATAATAATCCCGCCCAAATAGGCGGTCCAAACAACAACTTTAATCTCAATCTCCTCCTTCATAATACGGAATTGTGTTCAGAAACTTGAATTATATGAAATAAATGTGTGTGGTGCGTGCATATTATAAACTATATAGTGTAAGGAGCTTTCGTTGTAATTATTTTAATGGTTATTTCAGACCAACCGTCAAAAATCGTCCCGCGTCAGTGCAAAAAAGGGTGGACTGATAAAATATCAATAAAGTGCCACAATCGGTCGATTTCAACACTCAAACGTAATTATATCAATTTATCATAGTTTATTTGTTGTACTTTCTAAAACATTTGGCTTGCAAAATGATAGCGTGTGATATTATCATATTTTCAAAATACCGCTACGGTTACTAGATTCATCCAAAAGTCGTTATAATGGGCGGGACCAAATGAACATAAATAAACTTCCAGTAGTCCCTCGAACGTGATGAAAAATGTTTACAGTAGAATACATAGTTTGCATCTGTCGTTTCGTGGACATTTACACCAAAAGGTATTGCTTTTTCCTTTAGAATTGATATGAAAATGTACTGGAAAATTCCTTTATGCCTTCAAGGGTTTACAGAACCCTGCTTACGTTCACCACATCAACTGAGTATATCATACAGTCATACTGCACATAGGCTACTGTGATCTACTGTCATAGGTGATAGCATATTTTGGCAGTAGTATAAAGTGAAAATATAGGGACACTATTGATTTACAAGTTAAAGGCGTGTTCTTCCTATCATATATTAAGACTGTCTATCTCTCCAATTTTTTGGTATACCTCAGGCCTGTACCAAAGATATCAGGAGATAGTTACATTTGTATACGTGTATATATGTGCTTAAAAGTGTTGGGGATAAGGGTACGATTTCAGTGCGACTAATTCAGTTATTGAAATAGAAAATATATATTGCCGTCTTCAGGATAAATCACAAGCGCTCGTCCCAGACCAGTATAATTTTTCTAACTGCCCAAATGAATAAAAAGAAATTTTATGAAAGACTATTTTTCAGGCTTTGTTGTCAAAAAGTGTTCCACAATACACAAAATTTCTTAACACTCATAAACAAAAACCAAAAAGAAAAGAACGGTCCATTCACATGTACATGTATGGAGAATTTGAAAGTAAAATTAGGCACTTCATCAAGGAGCAGTTATAAACTCTCAGCTCACTACTAAAAACTCTTCATACATGTATTGTCAGGACTCTTGGGCGTCTGGGTTCATCATTTGAAATATAAAGAAATACCAAAATAGTCAAAAATT